ATAATTTGATTCCTCAACATGACGTTGGGGTCATATGGAATTCCTACAGGTTGGTTAACCGGTTGATTTGTTTGAGGCTTGATGTTTGGTCCTTGATTGGCAACAAAGTTACCATGATTTGAGCCATTGTTACCATTAGCCTGAACATTTATTCCCTCATTAACACGTGTGGTATTCTGCCCATTATTTAGGACATAATCTCTTACATTTGGATTACCCCCCAACCTCCATTATTCTGATTTGGCATTACACCATCCCCCTGGTTTAAAGTAGAGGGACCGAAAGGTGGTTCAATCCCCTGATTTGGATTTACGACTGGGGGATTATATCCCACAATTGTCCTAGTTTGAAAGTGGTTTGCAAGAGACATAACTGGTTGACAAATTTGGCCTACTAACTTATTCATTATTTCGTTCAAAGTATTCAATTGTTTGGCCATGTTGTCATAATGTGCATTCCCATTCTGCGTAAATCTTTCCATATTATGAATATTTCGAAGATTTACCTGTTCAACGACATCTTGTGTGAGTTCTCCAAGTAGTGCACGCATAGTTCGAGGACTCAACTCTGTCATTGATTCGTAACGACTGTTACTGCTCTGATTCTGTCCATCTGTTCATGGAGAGCTATGCTGCTCCTCATATCGCTCGATCACAAACTAGACTCCTCCCTAACTTGCTGCTTCCTTATCGGATCTCTGAGGCATATTGTTTCACCGTTTATATATTCAACACTAAACACCAATGTCCCACTTAGCGTGCCAAATTGTTTCGCGCGGGTTAGTTGCTAACAATTAAAAAGGGATCAGACGATTGTGTAAGGGACAAACCTCTTGAGACAAAATCTCAAAAATGGATGTTTTTATTGGTGATGACTTTACAATTGGAAAATAAAACAGAATGTTTCCAAGGGGTGCAAGCACACTAGTTACTGAAAAGAAGTGTTTAAATCTAAACTAAAAAATTGAAAGTTACATATTCTCTATTTGAGAGTGTTTGATTCGGGGTCCTTTTCTCTATGTCTTTTCTTCCTTTTATACTCTCTGGATGATCTCTTCGTGATCAACCGCTTAAAAACTGCTTGATCGCTCTATAATTGTCCACTTTCTTCATAGTGGCCAACTTGTCATGGAACTGCCTTCTCTAATTGCTGTCATTACTTTTTGTCGTTCAACCGTCTTCAATTGAATTCCTTGAATCGTGGAACGTGATAGGGCTACTCAATAACTGCTTCATTAACCGCACTTTTGGGTAACCATAACATCTTATGTTTTCTAAGATCCTGGACGATTCGAAGGTTTGGGCGAGAACAGGGTCATAGCTCTGGGCGACTGCATGGCAATCCATTCGCTCAAATCTTGGGCGACTTGCAAGCTTGGACGATGGTATTACCGCGTTCATGGGTTTCCCTATTTGGGTCTTTATCCTGAATTACCTGATTGGGCTATTTTTTGGACTATCTGATTTGGGGATCCTCCAATTGAGCTTCATTCCTCGGGTTATTCGATTTGGGCTGAACTTTGTGTGTGTCAACAATATTATCAAATTTCAACTTTGACGAATGTAACCTTGCAGCCATAGTTTACTAAACGGAGTGCATGTTCTATAAGGGGAATCACATGGCCCTGTGCGGGATATGGTATAAGCATGACATGAACGCTTTTCATTGTTTTTATTTGATTGGTGATGAGAGAAGTGATTGTTTCTGCTAGCCGTAGTGTCTAATGGTGATAAAGAGTATGACAGATCTGCTAGAATTTGGTATTTGTACAGAATGTATGCGGTAAGGAAATTTTAGAACCTTTTTTTTTTCCTTTTCTTTTTTTGTGGTCTTGTCTTCACCAAGAGAATAAAACAGGCAAATTGTTCTTAACTATATATATAAAGGAATATGCTGAACATATATTCTATTTTTCATGCAGAACAAGGAGCCGGCCTTTGGTGACCAATGTGATATGCATAATTAAAGGTAGATTTATGTAATTTATTTAATTATGTTTCTCATGTAATGTCAAATAGTGTCATTTAAATTAATGTAGTATCAAAAGTAGTGCTAAATAGCATTACTAGATACATGTCATTTAGATTGGAAACAAGGAACATGAATTGGAACTTGGAAGAAACTAATGAAATGTAAATTTGGGCCACTTATTTTATTTTGTTTCAATTTAATTATTTTCAGTAATTGATTAATTTTTAATTTAATTTAATTGATGGATAACCAATCAATTATTTAGTTTTGCCAAGCACGGTGCTTAGAAGATAAAAATCATATATATTTATATAAATTTGAGGATTATAAGTCATGTGATTGTTCTTAAGGTTATCTTGGCTGACGATTAGAAATTCGAAGTTAAGGATGTACTTTGAAATGAAGATGTTTGATGGTGTGGTATGAGAATTTGCCGTGGTCATGCAATCCCAAGATTGAAGTGAAGTTTGATATGGTTGGAGCATTGGATACATCGATAAGATGACTGTGAATAAAACTTTTCAGCCAATAAGAAGAGAAAAATATGTTGATAATTTGTATAGGATAATCGGAGAGTCAATTTGTGGTGGGGCTTTCTTGATGGAGTTAGACCAAGGAGTCTTCTATTGTTGCTAAAGATTATGATGTGGAAAAATTGGGTTATGTGATAATGGCAAGGAGAATGACGATTGAAGTTTAAGGAAGTCAAATTATAGAGTTACATATTATGAGTCTTTGAATTATGTTCAAATTTACGAAAATTGATCCAGGAATAGTGGCACCTACTAGTAAAAGAGAGAACTGATGGGAATTGAAACTTGTGGTGATCAAGAGCTTTCGAATAAAGGCAGGGATTATTTGGTTTGACTCGAAATTAATAGATTGAATTGAGGGACCAGTGGAACACAATTGAATCAGGGAATGAAGGAAGAAAAGAGAAGCAATCGAGTGGTGTTTAGGAAAGTAACTGGATTGGAATTAAGGGATTCAAGTATTAAAGAAAGACTATTAACAAAATATGTCTAGACAGAGTGAGAAATGTATTTCCTATTTGTGTGTGTGTGTGTGTAACAGAGTGAGAAATGTATTTCCTATTTGTGTGTGTGTGTGTACACACACACACACACATATAAATATAGACATATGTATATACATATATATACATATGTATATATGTATATATATACATATGTGTATTATATATATACATACATATATGTATATATATATACATATATACAAATATGTATATATATATATACATACATACATATATATACATATATGTGTATATACATACATATATGTATATACATACATGTATGTATGTACATACATGTATGTATACATACATGTATGTATGTACATGTATGTACATAT